AAAGTCCGCCGATTCAGCAACATTGCTGGCAAAAACGGCCATCAAGTCGGCTTTTCGGTTGCTTCCCGTCACCCTTCTGATTATGAATTGCTTGGCTTCAAGTTTCACACTCAGTTTTATTATGATAAGTGCTTACCCATGGGATGTTCGGTGTTCTGCAGGCTTTTTGAGGCATTTAGCACCTTTCTGGAATTTCACTTCATAAGTCATAAGTCGAGCAGAGACCACACTCAGGCGAAGGCACGACGTCCGCTGGAATGGCCTGGGTGGAGCGAAATATGGTGACGTTACAAAATTAATGGCGGAACTCGCAGCAAGATGGCCTCGTCCGACCATGCTAATCGTCCACTTAGGCACTAACGAGTTGGTCGAGACCGAATTTTTCTGTTTCCGACTAAGGCTGGCACTTTTCATGCGAGAGTGTCCTGACATCTACCCAGAGGCGCAGTTGGTTTGGTCAGATATTTTACCGCGCGCCTGTTACTTTGGGTCTACTAATCCATCAAAAAAGGAAAAGAAACGCCGAGCGATCAATAGGTGGGCATGTTCACTCGGTAGTCGACTGGGAGTGTCAGTGCTGCACCACCCTCAGTTCCGATGGTCGGAGTTCGCATTGTATCGTTACGATGGCGTCCACTTATCTGACACGGGCAACGAATATTTTAGAGCCAACTTAAAAGACTACATCATTACTGCCTTTGAAAAATAGAATCGTTTCCCGGGATGTGGGCCTAATGGGCGGCATTGTTCACGTGTTTGCTTGCGTAGGTAGTATCAGAAAGGGAGGCTCGGGTGTCCGGGCGGTCGTCCCAGTGGGGCGCGCCTTGCGCGTTTGGCGGGAACTACCTGGGAGCGACACGCAGTTTCCGAAGTAAACAAATAAACAATTTAGGCGAATTATCTCGCAGTGATTATAACGTAAAGTTAGTTGTTAGTAATGTTTCATTTTGTTTTTCTTAAACACTACGCCAAGCACCCTCTTGTTCTGGTGAGGCTTATTCCAACCGCCTGTTCAAGCGGTGGAAAAAACGGCGTGCTTTATGTAAGATTTCCTTAATTTGTAAAGGATAAATAGAATCACGACTATTAATTATGGGACAAGCACCTACTGGTTCCGGTGGGATTTGTCTGCATGGCAAGTGTGCCAAGGAATTCCAACCTGTTACGCCAAGTGTGGCAAGCCTTTGGCGAGTTTGTTCCTGTTTTTTGCTAAGTGTGGCAAGTATCTCTTTGGCAAGTGTGCCTGAGTTTCTGCCAAGTGTGGCAAGTATGGCAAGTGTGCCAGGAAAATCTTACAGAATTTCTGCCAAGTGTGGCAATATAGAAGGTGGCTTTGAAATCGGCAAAAGCAAATAAACCTGCCGCTCGAAATCTTTTACCAAAAATCAAAACGTGGTGTCAATGTGTGGTTTGTGCACATATAGTTGGAGAATAATTGTTGGGCATTCATCCTGTAAATCCTGTAAATGTCCAGCTTGAGGGGAAATGGGCCAATTTGCTTGTTACTAAAGCGAGATGGCGGAAAACCATACAGCGTGGCCTTACAGTTTGCGACAATAATTATGCAACACGGCAAGAATTGAAAATTACTCAAATATTTTGGTTGTTTGCCTTCATTGCAAATTCTTGACTACTGCCCAAGAATATATTGAAGGATATTAGTGAGTGATTAACTTAAAGCAAAAACAAGTTAACCATGATGTTGAAATATCGAAAATATCGTTCGTGAACGTGAAGCATGTTGACAGGTTGAAGATTATTTGCATAACCTACGCCTATCTTCTCTCAAGTGACATTAATAATGCATATCCTACTATTATCACCATAGTCTGTTGCCGCCCCTCGACGAACAACATATCCATGACCTTTCTGAATATCTTTTAACTAAGACTAGGCAATGGCTTGAAATCACACGTCTCGCAACTTACTTATGCTTTGACCAAATTGACTTTGTTTACATTGACAACCCCCCCTCCCGATCGAGCCATGCCAATTCTAAATTGAATTTTCAGGCTGACCTGGATTTTCCATTTGCAATATCCGGCTATTTATTTTTTTCAGTTAAAGTCATCAATGAAATGTGTTTTTTTATATGAGCATAGCAACATAAGTATATACATGGAAACTCGTGATGAAGTACGAAATACCAGTACGTACGTGCAATGCATGTGTAGTGGACAGCTTAGACGACGCGACTGATCATTACTACCAAGTTTCAAACTTACCTGGTAAGTCTACACTGATTTTGTTCAATTTTTGAATACTTTTAGTTATTTCTGAGTGATATTTATTAACCCTAGAAGAGCAGCTAGTTTTTGACCTGCTCACAGTCGGGGGGCGGATTCACCCACCCACCCCCCAACTCGGCTGTCCCATGCCCATTTTTTTCTTTTTTTATTTGGCAAACGCATGGAGGCACTCCTTATCCGTATAAATGTGAAATTCCAACTTAGTCCATTTTATGGTTTTATTGTGACAGTGACATGAAGTTCTAGGCCCCATGCATGTCAGCCCGCGTGCATTGAGCACGGCAATGAAAAAGTAAAGAAATTTGGCTGACTTGCCAGTGTCTCAGGGAAATGAACGTAGCGCGAGAATCGTATGTTCGATTTCACACCACTGGTGTAAACATCAACGCAAAAAATCCACGAGAAACCCTCAAGGTGAGCCTCGTGGAAAAAAAGCACCGCTCCAGTATCGGGAAAACGTTGAAGGGGCGGTTCAAAATTTCCCGAATCGTGTAATTTATGAAAGCTATGGAAAAACATTGACTCTCAACTTCCAACACACAATCTTTATTTTTCAGAAAAAAATATTGTGCGAATACGGGTCATTGAAACTAATAGGTGTTACCCAAATTCAAAAACACATCAAATCAAACAAAACTGGTAAAAAGACAAGCAAAGCATTAGACTTTAATTTCAACTATAAAAGTGCTCGGTTGGCAACATCAAAAGGTGGCTCACAAACTGAAATCACGGGTCATGAGCAGAAAGCAAGTTGCTATGCGTTAAACGTTTCGTCCACTGTGTAATCTGTACTTTAAAATTTCAAGCAACAATAAAGGCGTAATTAGACCGTAGGATTACAAGGGAAAAAGGCCTATTTTTGAGATCCGTGGTCTCCATGATCACTGGACCACATAAACATCATACGTGGGGGGTTTCAAGTGTGATGAATCCGAATATGACTGTTGCCAATCTGTAAACGTGCACATTGTTATGATATTGATGTAATATTTATGCGCTAATCATATTTAAGAGCAAATAACTGTGGTACACAACCTGTCAATAACAAAGTTTAATTTTCCAACAAAGCAAAGCTTTACCTATAAGTAGAACATGCGCTTGGTTTAAACATCTAACAAGGGATCTCACGAGAAAGTAATAAGGTGGGCGGAGTTTAACACACACACACACCCCATTTTACCTTTATTCAAAAAGGCTTTGAGGGTTTATATGCTCATTCTCACCTCATTTGGAACGAAGTAATCAATAACCTTAAGCCACTTATGACTTTCCCTGTATAACAGGATAGAATGTCTGTGGTCCATTGAGGAGGATGGGGAGGGGGCGAGGATGGGAGTGGGGGACTTGATTGTTGGTGACTTTATTCACCTAGAACGACTTCTAACAGTACCGTATGAAAAGAGGTAAATTTTGAAAATAATTTTTGAAGTGGGAGAATTGAAGGAATTAACTTGCGGCACATGTACGTGTGCATGCATAATGACAGCCTTCAAATGTAAACAGAGGAGAACATGTAGGCCCTATGACAAGGAAATCTAGATCAAAATAAAGGCTACTTTTTGAGTATTCAATTACCCTAGGTCAAGGCTGTATGTTACTGCCATCTCAAGTATCCATGACCGTCTATGTGTATTTATACCCAATACACTTTCTACACGTTTCTTCTATTGAACGTTTCTGTTCCAAGAACTGCGCATGAGCAAAAGTGTTTACTTCAAAGTAAAAATGCAATTGTGAACAATATTTAATCCACTCTTTGAACATATTTTTGACACATTTGTTACTAATGAGTATAGTGCCTGTCCATAAACATATTCTTACCACTGTATACAAACTACTATAAAAAGAGTGTATTTTCAACGGAAAATTCTTTTTTAAAGGGCACTTATGTTCTTCACGTCAGGATCATTATGCAGACATGCATACCTAAAAAATATACACTTCAGTGCATTTTAATAAGTGCCAAATCAATGTTCAACCTTACCTGTCAACTCATTTACTGTTGTGAAGTTTTATTAACAGAATAGCCCTGGAACTGGTAAAGATAAAATAAAATGAGTTTGCCCTACAGCCTGGCTTAATAAAGCTGTAAAACACACAAATCTGATTGGAATATACACCCCAAAGGTCTCTCTATTTACAAAAAAGACAAACACTAGTACAAATTTCTGAGGGCACCTTCAAGGAAAAACACAAAATATACATGTAACAGATCATGGTGCAGATCAAGTGGCCTTTCCATACTAATAAATATTATTCTTTGTTCTCGGCCATAAAAAGGAAACTTAAATTTACTCATGGAAATAAAAACAAGGTAAGATTATATTTTCAGTAATAGTTATCTACATGTACACAAGTATACAGCACCATGGTGTTGGGGAGTATCTTGTCGACTGACCAACAATGTTCCCGATGAAAAAAAATCGATAAAGAGAATGGAATTTAGGAAAATATACATGTATTTACAGTTATAGTTACATGTATCTATACAGCATCCATGGTATCTTAGGCCAAAACCCCCTCATACACACACACATACTTGGTGCACCACAACTTGGGCTACTGGCCATCATTCACTGTTTTAATAACAGCTTCTTTAATGTTGTAAGCCAGAAAGTTTCTTGATTTCTTATTATTCTTGGTTCGATGACTGTCTCACAAAATGTTTTGTATGACGGTGCATAATTGAAGTCTGTCGTTGCCCTTGTTACCATTACACACCGTGTAAATTCTTTGTAGCAGCTCTTGTGATACTGCACCTCAATGGCGACCATGTCCTCCCCTTCAACTGAGTGAGCATGCATTAATGATGTTGCTTCTCTGCTGCTGCAAAGAAGGTTTGTGCGTGTGTTTGTTCACATTTCCAAAGAGGAACCTTCTGTCGCGATCCAGTTCTCCTGTCCTGTGTATACTGGTTCCGCCGACATATTATAAATTCACTTGGCAGCACATGACTCCTCTCCTGGTGAGACTTTGTTGGTGAAAAGGTGGAATTCAGAAGCATTTTCTTCTTTGGGGACGGGCCTGGAGTATCCTCGTCATATGCAGATTTGGCGTCAGCATCTCCAGCTGAAATAAAATCCACATGACATGGCAGGTTGAAAAACCAGATAAAACAGTTGGAGTTGCCATTGCGGCTGTGAATTAACTTATAATTTCAAGCATGTCTATAACAAAACAAATTTAAATATCAACTGATTCAAATGAGGCTGGCCTCGGACATGTACTTCTTCCTGGAAAATATTAACTTTCATGGAAGATAAGATATTAACTAATTATGGAAACATTTTTTCTAAGTTAAAAAAAAGTTGCAGACCACTCTCTTGTGGAGAATTTGTCACTCTTGGGCAGTGCTCTTGTTGGATGTCAGCCATCAAATGCTGGACAACTCGTGCCCAGAACAACTTACACCAGGGACAAGTCATACCCAGGATAATTCATACAACTTGTAACCCAAGAGAAAATTACATTTTATCATAGCTTGTGGCGGCAACATCCCATCAAAATTATAGAATAGCATATCCAATCCGTTTTTTTTATTGCTGACAATGCAGCTGTCTGTTTTGTGTGTAATCGGATTTTCTTCAGTTAGCCTTGTTGAAATTGTTGAGTTTTTACGAAGTTTCCCAGGTACGAGATGTCTCAGGTTCCAGTTGTCATGTATAAAATGTACATGTACCTCAGGTGAAACCACTGTGATACATCATGTACAAAAAGATAAAGGCCTGATCGTTAAAACCTAAAAAACACACTTTCAAGAGTCTTTAACACAGTAAATAAAACTGTAGAAGCGCATGCAGTCGTGAAGTATTTTTATGTAGGAGCGGGGAGAAATTTCACAAAATACAAACTTTACCATTATCGGCATCTTCTGTAGTTTTTCTGCCATGGGCCCAACGTATTTTATTTGCATTGCAAAACCTCTGGAGATAACCGACTTCATTTGACCAGTGCCAAATCGGTGTGTTTGGGCAAACTTCACAACAATTTGGGCCTCAACTGAGTCTGGAATCTGCGTTCACGGGTAACCGCAGCTGATAACCTACTCCACTTTGAACTTTTAAACATACATACAACAAAAATTCGACTGTGTTTCCGACGGAACAAAGTGTGCAGGTTTGGTGAAAGGCTACATTCCAAATCGGATTTTATGTAATATTTTGCGTATTATCTGACAAAATGGATGCATTTTATCACCCGAAATTTATTCTAGGTAAATGGTTCCAAATGGCAGCAAGTGTCAGTGTAACTCACCAGTTTTGCATTGGGCAGAGCTTTTGGTTTACAAACTGCAAAGGGGAGGTTTCAGAAGGATGGGTTTCATTGGCCCGAAATAATGAAAAGAACACTGAGTATTTGGTATTCCCAAACTAAACAAACTATCAGGATAGTCAAGGCGGGAATCCTGGTCGTCTGCTTTGCAGTTGGCGGTTCATTATTTTGTGTACAAACCTCAGTAGGGAAACTACTTTTAAAAAATAAAACTTTACTGACCTACATGTGTTCTGATTTCCCTAGATTCGATCGATTGTAAACAGGGGGAAGCTGTGTGATGAATAATGCATTTTATGAAACAGTGATATTACGGTGTATCGGCCAACACAGCCATTAATTTTTTATCCTTCACGAAATTTGCCAGGAAAACACTGGGCCCCTCTTTTGTTGGTAAGCGGGCGAAATCATTAAAAACCACATACAAGAAAGGGGTCTACAAGCTTTGTTTTCTTTCAGTTTTGCGAAGTGATGTGTTTTCAATTTGCACTTTAAATTTGTATATTTGCCAACTCAAGAGGGAAGTGACGAGTAATAATGTTCAACATGTTGTTTCGATGCTAATAGATCTTTTCGTCCTGGTTACCTATAGACTGTCCAAAGAGTTATTATCCCGAAGACTCAGAAGTCTGCAGTGTCAAGGATCCGAAGATCCGTTGCGCCAAAAGCATTTTGAAGAGGATTCTGCTACCGCCTTGTATTATGAAAAACCACGATGCCGCAAAATTTCCCAGACAACGCGCTTCACCTAATTACACATCATCAAATATCTTGCCAAAAATACAATACAATATTATCTCGACTTCAGAAAACGAATTGAAAAAAGTAAATATAGGTAAATAAAGTGACATTCGCGTACGAAATCGTTTGCATGGACATCATTTATTGGGCTTATTGTCGGTTTTGAATGCAAATTTCAGGTTGAAGCATTGTACCACCTGAATACAATTCGAGGAGAATGCTGAATTTAGAAAAGGGAATATAATAAAACCTGTGAAATGATGTGAAAAGAAATGGAGTAACAACCCAGGCATATTATAATCGGTTCGCTCCATTGCTTTCAAATTCATATGTTATATTTTCTTCTATATTAAATATAAGTTCCTTTGCAGAAATTGGCATCAATCCTCAAAACCATGAGGCAACCATGCAACGATCTGTTGTTGATGCAAATCGTTGGACTGATGACGCTGACGGCCTTTGACTTCACTTATGCATGTAAGATTGTGTTATTACAGATTTTGCCAATCTTTCACTGCCATATTTCTTCAACTTTGAAGCAAAAACTGCACCTGGTTTTCGTATGAAAAGGTAAACATGTTTGTGTTTTCATTTTGAAGCGCCAGTGACAAATGCATTCTACAGATACTGTCACTTTTCAATTACGGGGTGTGGGGCTCTTCACCACCGTATGGATAAAATATGTTTCTAAGTCTGGGCAGAGCACTCTTGAAATTTTTAGTTTTCGATCAAAAAAATGCTTTTTGGTAGTCGTTGGCAAAGATAACGTTTTTGAAAACTTTGCAATGTAGTGGAATTTCCCTGACAATTAGGCCTAGGCCTGCAAAACACTCATTTAGCCAAAAAGGATTCCAAGGAAGCCACTGCGGTAGCACCATATATCTCTTTCGAGAATGAGGGTTCTGAATAGAACAAGTGGGCGGCCCAATTTCTGGACATGTTCTATCCCTTTTGGGGTGAATGTTTCGAGAGAAAAAATTTGCGAGGTGTGAGCGCAAACCTTCGTCCAGTAACTACATGTACCACGCACACTGCAACGAACACGGTTTGTAGCAGTCCCGATGGTATTAAAGTTGTTTTTTTAAATGTAGTCCGCTGGTAAGTCCCAGGCGGCATAGGTTCTGCAAACTTTGGTTCACGTTCTTCGCCAGTTTGCTAAATTGCTACTGGCGCCTATAATATGTTGTACTAAATTAAATCGGGAGACTTTTGGCCCGAAGCCAGACTTGGTAGTTCAAAGGGCAGGAACACTTGGCCCGCAGCCAGAGTTGTTGTTATGAGAGTATTTCCCAGAACACAGTTGCGTTGTTAGTCTGACTGAATTGGAAAACATAAGCAAGTGATAAATTATTTGGAAAAAAAATGGCTGTCTGTCCCCTGTCTTCATGTTGCCGTAGTGAACACATTTTGCCCGGTTGGAGTTACGGAAAGTGGAGAAAGAAAGATATCTAAATTAATTGAAAAATGTTAATTGTTTGCTTCAAGCTTACAAACACTTGCGAAGCATTCTGGAAATGCAAGGAATAGGCCTAAGTGAACAAATGCATACAGACTGTTGGTGTTCAGATACATATTATTTTCGTACAATTGAATTCGAAAACAGTCGTGGAAATGCTAAACGTCCAACTTTTCAACTGCTTTTTGAGGTCCATTAATCATGAATTTAAAACTTCACTGGATACTATTTTCTCAAACGACCACGAAGAATTGTATGTGTAAAGAGTTGTGGTTTTATTGTCACTGTTCACCGAAGGGCCCTCTCAAAATATTTTTTTTTAATTCGACATTTCTCACTTCAAAAGCCCTCTGTTTGGGATTTCACATCTCACTTCTATTGGTACGTAAATATCTGACGTTTCCCCCATTTTTGCTATTTTGCACCGGTTCTTCCTAAGCTCAACTACGCCTGGTGGCGGGAAGTACAAGAAATGAAGGTCGGTTAGAGATCTACGTAAACAACGAATGGGGCACGGTGTGTGACGACTCGTGGGATCTTGTGGACGCCCATGTGGCCTGCCGGCAACTAGGCTTTCCTGCGGGCGCCGTCAAAGCCACCTCAGGCGGGTTTTATCCAGGCGGAACAGGGCCAATACATCTGGACGATGTCAACTGTTCGGGACATGAGAGTGACCTCGAAGATTGTGACTACGTGGGATCTCACAACTGCGACCATGATGAGGATGCTGGAGTCCTCTGTATCATTGGAGGTAAGCTGCATCATTACAACACCTCAAATGGTGAGCACGGTTGCGCATTGAAACGGTGCCGTGACTGCTGGGGACGTGAATGCTATAACAGTCGTCTGCCGACAAGCTGTAACCTGGAAGTACAAAACATCACGTGGCTCGCTTGCCGATCCCTTGTCCGCGGATCCCTATGGTAATTTTGCACGCCTCTGCATTCTTTAATATTAGCAAGAGTGATTTTATGTTAGAGTTTTACCTTGGTGTTCAAGTAAAATTTGGAAAAGTCACCTGAAGTATGGAGGACGAAAAGTGTCATCTGCTTTTCTGCTATCAAAACATGGGCCTAATTACCGGGGGCGGGGCGGCGGTATATCCCCCCACATACACACATATACACACACTTCTCCCCATTCTCCCAATTTCGGGCACAAAATCATTTACGCCACTGCATCAGAACAGTAGGAAATCAGATTTTAAGTCTTCGTCAAGAAGTCTTTGTCAAAAAGTGGATGGAAAGGTCTGACAACAACCGTGAATTCTACTCTTAATGCATTTTTTTTCTGATAACAGAGGAGCAGATTTTACAAAGGCGGCCAAAAAGCGAGCAGCTGTTTTTCTGCATTCCAGGGGCCGTGAACAGGGTCATGAACCTGTAGTTTACGACCATTTCCTCTCTTGGGGTTGATAGACTTAACCCAAACCGGGATCTTCCGCGACGTTTGCGTTTATGCTTTGGATATGGAGGCCGTGCTTCGTTACTTGCTTTCGCTTCCTCTTGTGTACCCGAGTATGCGAGTTCAGAAATACACACGCTGACGGCGCCTCATAAGGAAATTATGCCAGCGGCCGAGTGCGACGACCGCACGTGTACTGTGTACGTGCGTGAAGGGACGGCTGACTGGGAAAGAGCAACGTAAGTCTGACTTGATTCACGTCTAGGAGATTGAAGACGTAGAAACAAATAATTTCGGTCCGCTCTATCTTTCGTAATGAAAGATTCCAATGTTTCCTAAAGAATTAAACCTGCTAGTCTGTTGGATGGATGATAGGTCTAAATCCACTTAGGTTTATTTCTTTGATATGCCTTTTTCCTTGACGCAAAAAAGTGTTTAGAATCTAAACCTTTTCTAAACATTTTCTTGCCATCAATTGTAAACATGTCCTCACGATAAACACTTATTGTGTTTATCAGTACAACACCTAGGTGTATATTAAACATTTGTATGTTTAGGTGTTCAATATTTTGTGTTTAGATGTGTAGCATAAACGCTAACTAGAAAAGGATTCATGGGAACATACAAAAGCATTTCCTCGGGGAATTTTTCTTATTCTTAAAAAAGAATTCTTCAAGCACAAAATAAATTGTTGCCGTCTAAAGCGCATGTCAAATGCACAATCTCACAGAGTGCAATAAAATCAGTAAAATGAGGTCTTGTAAGCTTTCATTAAAAAAATGAATCAATTACAATGAAGTTAAAATAAAAAGGTTTTTCTCAAACAAAATTCATTAATTGTAATGTCAAAATCTTCCAGAAGGGTTTCTTGGGCTCACATGAAAAATATATCAAAGACAATTTCATCTAAGTAAGAATTAAGTTTTTTATTTAAATAAATCTGTAATCTATTACTTATATTTGTTATCACCGTGCGGCCGAGTGGTCTACGGAATGTAGACGCACTGCATTATTCCTTGTTCCACACGAACGTGATAACGAATTTATCTTCAAGCTAAAAGCTACTCTTGGCCCAAGACGTCAGTGACGGATAGTTGTTTTATTTCTGTTGAAGAGCGCCCTCGCACAACTAGGTTTTACTTACTCTCACTATTAACGTCTTGGGAATCTTGCAGGAATGGGGGTGCGGCAGTTGTATGCAAATGACCGATCTTCTTGAATATTTATAGCCTTGGTATTATAATTATGTACATGTACTTCGAAGTTCGTACAACATGGCGGCTTCATGAGAGCAAGTACCCTGTCGATAGTGTCTGGTTTGTGGGAAGGGATTAGTGACATGGAAGACATATTTGTCACTCCATGTTAGACATGAAATTGCCACTCTTCTTAAAGATATCGTTGTGGACTACATGCAGTTGTGCTGCTTCGCATCATGTTTGCGATATCTGTGGCAGGAAAGTTGGGAAAACAAAATCGTTGTCTGGCACGTACCACGGAGGAAATGCGTTCTCGTTTTTTGCAACTCACAATGGGCATGCTGCCTGAGGCCAAATTACTCACACAAGCGGCAAATAAGCCTACACGTGCAGCACTTTGCAGTCCGGGTACTCCGCCCTGGAAGGTTAAAGTCTACATTGTCCCTAAGGACGATTTAGTTAGCTGGGCAAGTCATACTGATTGTACATGATTGTGGGTCAACAAGAACAGCATCCTTTGACATAACCTAGGCCTAACTTAGTCTAAGTATCACTCGTTCTACTCCGTGCTAACTCCGGCCGTACGAAGGTCTTTGTTGTCGTGTCTGTGTTGACGGTACTGCAGACAGCCATGGTGCATGTGACCTTAGTTACCATGGTGTATTATTGAGGTCATCGAAATTTATTATGCATGCAGTTTAGCAAGTGCTGAAAAATAAAGAACAAGGTTCGTTAAAACGCTGCTGCAAGATTCCCAAGACGTTAGTTCGAGCTGGTGCATAGTCTAATTACGACTCGCTAGGGGGCGCACTATGCACGGTGTCTGCTATCAAGCACTAACGTCTTGAGACCAAGACTAGCTAAAAGCAAACTTGACGTGCATTAAAGAGAGTAAAGGGGCCCATTCACTTAACTTATTTCAATAACAACAATAACAGTAGGGATCACACTAACAAAAGAAATTGTTAGAATTGTACATGCATTGAAACACATGTGACGATCAGCACGGGCAAACGCCACTTTTGAATTTACAGTCATGCAAATGCGCGTTGCTTTTAGCGTAAAAATAGCGCAATGTTTTCCTTGAGTTTAAGAATAGCGCATTGCGCAGGGTTTAGTATGTGAAGGTGCCACACTGAAGTCATAATTACAATGAAATTTGAACTTCATTAATTGTGAAGTTTGGATCATCTTAATTGCTTTCCATAGTTAGAAAGCAAACTTCAGCAGACTTCAACTTAGAACAGTTAATTTAAAGAAATCACAAGATCTATTAAATGTACTTTCTAACAAAGGGTAGTTGGAGAACCTAAAGCATCTGGTACTTTGATAGGGGTATGAAAGTTCCCATGCATAGTGTGCCTGGGATAAAAAAAAATGAGTATCTGGTTTTGTGCAGTTGCACCTGATGGTGCAGGAGGAAATCACATATGAAATTACAAAGTTTTTCAAACTGGAAATATAACTCCCCAGTCTCCAAGGGTTTGGTTTGAGAAACCTCTTGTATTTTGTAATCTTTCTAGAAATTACAAGAAATAGCTCTTGTGAGCCTTGGAGACCCAGCGACAAGATGTTCACTCTTTGGTACTTCTCATTTGACTGATTAGTACATGGCTCATCCTTGGTCAATGCGTTCGTCGTTCGTCGCAGCGCGCACCTACCGCTCGAAATTAAGGCGAAGAGCGACCTCATGCGGTCCAACAAATATGCAAGCAAGTCGGCTGAACCAGGACGAACGTCTTGGTGCAACCGTCCGCGGAGGCTGTATTGGACAGTGCTCATTACGCTAATGCAAGAGCCGATATTTTAAAGACGCTTTTGGATTGGTTCATTGCTACGTAGTAACTGCATAATACAAGTTGGGCGTAAGGTGGAAGGTTAACTGAACGAACACATGGCTATACTTTGCTTTGCTTTTCCTTACTGATCGTGATTGATTTTTTTTTCAAATTACTAGCACTATAGGCTTTGTATATGGTCCCAGGAGCTCCGAGCCGAAATGTGCAGCCTGAAAAATAGCAGATTTTCCGTTGCCTGATGGCAAATTCACGAAAACGTGGTGACCCAGCAGAACTATTCTGCTCGGCACGAAAATTACCAAACATTAATTTATCTGCTGTGGAAGTCTGGGAAGCTGGTCCGCCATGAATTTTACATGTGTGACGAAACAGGGCTAAGCATGGATGCCAGTCTAAGTCATTATGTATTGATGTATGTGTTGACCAATCAGCGCGCTGCAGCGGTGCGCACGCGCCCTAAGCACGCCGTAAGCGCCCAGACCTAGGGGTGCACCACTACAAATAAATTCCCATAGACTGCAATGGTAAGTCCCCACACTTTGCAATAATTTTAAGAATACTCACAACTCTCACAGATGTCCAGGCTGCACAGAAATACGATGATCGACATGTCCCCTTTTATTTTCCTTCCAATTTTCGGGGGTTGACCAAAGGAAAATTTGCTTCAGCTTAAACATAACATGGTAACCTTCTTCAAACACCCTTTCAATTATCAGGATAAGCAGCATGCGAGGACCAACTGAAGAACAATTCAGATTTAAAAAAAAAATTAAAATACCTTTTTTTGCGTTCAGAAACGTAACGTACACAGACATCTCAGTTTCACCCCATTTTGTCCCAAATGTCACTTTTGATTAACAAAAAACACATCACAAAATGAAATCTACAGCCTGATAATATTTCTCTGGTATAAGTTCAGCAAACGTTTACACAGTGCGGAAGATCTCCGCAGATACATTTTGGGCAGTCACTTGCTGACTGGCGTCGCCGTTTTAACAAGCAACAGTAAAGTGACCACGACTTTGCCGAATTTTAGCGCATGCGCACAAACTAAGTGGAAGGGATGAAAATACATGAGGAATTAATACACACATTTAATGAACATGACAGAGATAAAGAGCAAAGGGATATATGGACATAGATATTGGATAAGGCCAAGAAGGGGTCGAAGGGGAAGGAGTCAGGGGTGGGGAGGTTCGGGGGGTCAAAGGGAAGGGGAGGAATTGAGACACAAACTAGCAGGAAATTTGATTTGAAAAAATTAACCAGTGCAAAAAAAAAAAGATCTATTTTACTGTTAGTGGGCAAGCTGGACATGAAGCTGATAAGTTTAGTTAAACATACTGTTGAATAACTTTTCACCAATCCTTCAAGAGGGCTGTTCTGATACCATGTGACTGAAGACGAGTCAGAGGAATCCAAGTACTAAAATGTTTTATGTTTCAGTTGAGACTGACCGAACGTAATACACTGATTTCGCCTCTGACAGAGAGTAGGTAAGCCACAAGAAACAAGTGCATCATCATAACCGTTGTATTCATTGCTAAGGATGATTTTTACAGACCATCTTCTGGAAATTCGCCAGAATTATAACATCTTTCAGCGTGAGGTTAAAATTTGTTACTGGTGTGGCATATTCTAACAAAGGCCTAATGTGGCCAAGGTAGATGGAGACCAAATCATTGACAGGTATAAAGCAAAACCATTTCAGTGTTTTTAAGATGTACAGTTTTTTGTTGGCCCGAAATATCGTGTTCTGGACGTGGGCATCCCATTTAGTCCACGTGCACTATAACACCCAAGATACGGTGGGATTTATTTTCCTATAAAACAAAAAAATGGTTGTCTTGTGAAGCTGACAGTCATCACGCTTAATTGGCTGGGACTGAGTTCCATCATCACTGTTCCGAAAGTAAAGAAACTCGATAACTAATTACAAATTATCAGATGACAGTGATCAAGGTAAATGTTGTATGTAACAGCATGTTTCAAAGCTATTTGAGAACTTCACATTCACAGTCATACACATATTTCACAATTCAGAGACTGTTTTCTCTCCAAATCTCAAAAGTTCAGGCTAAGGAATTTAAACTAAGGAACTAAGGAATTTTAAAAAAGTACATGTACTGCAATGTCGCCTTAGTTTGATGCTGATCACATGATGACAATATGACTGGAGAACTGTGCCGGTGTGAGGAAAAGTGAGGAAGATATGGAGGAGTCGTAATATTAGATCATGCAGCAATTGTACATCAGTCAATCATGTATCCCCAATTTTGTGTTTTTAACTGACTACATATGTACACTAACAGGTGGATCAGGGATACCCTTGGACGGCTAAGCCTTAACCCAGCAACCCTTCATGGTGAAGGACAGAGTATACTTAGACTGAAAACGGCAGTTTAAACGCTCTAAAGATTGGTCAATCGTAAGAATTCAAAGAATAATTCGAGTAAAACAAACCAGTTTATACCTCATTCCGTTATTGTTCGGTCCTCCACCTTGCCAGCCAATCATTTCCAGGTTCTTTTTAGCAAAGAATCGGATGTGGGTCTCCTCGGTTGACACGGAAATAATTCCTCTGCATGGGTGGATAGTGCAAATCAAAAATTGTTAGGCTACCTGAAAACTGTCGGGAAAGCATGGACTTGCAGTGTACATAACATCAACGACAAGTTCCTACAACACAGGGCCAGCTAACATGAGATTTGTTAGTAATTAAAGTTAGGCCTAACATTAGACTTAGGCCCTGGTAACACTTTTCTCAGACTCAGTTATGAAATAGGCCTAGGCCTACAGGCAGCATTCGCATTTAGTTTTTAAGCCCCAGACCCAGGCCCATTCGATTGCTTTCCACACAAAACCAATTGCTTCGTGAAAAACCTGAAAGCAATTAGTCTCCCTATTACGTACTACAAAAATAGCAGCATCGTGGCAGACTCTAATGAGTCCGTTAAGCAGTTGTTATGGCTCAGCCTTCACATACACGTTACCTTGTAGGCTTGTACAAGATCATGTATATGTAGGCCCAGACTAACGTTACCTAGTAATTAGTACACAGGTCAAGACCATTGTGGCCTACACTGGCAAACTGTTTTCACGGCTTAAAATGGACAGAACCCACTAAGAAATTTCACATTAAGTCAATACTTCTAAATATACAACCGTGAACGTACCGTCTCACTATTCCAATATGTTTTGAGGCACTTTTCTCAGCAAAAACTCACGTAAAGAAGACCATCCTCTCAGCAGCACCAAAAAACAAGATGGTGTCAGAATGATTCCTGGCCCTGCTACCCAGTCTGGCCAGCCCACGTCAGCGAACGGTCTAGCTTTCAAAGGCCGGTGACGCCGATCCGTTTTGGCGGAAGTTTATCGCGCTGGCCCGCAACACACCACTCACGGCAACCACACCCTAGCGCCAGTTTCAGCTTCGACGAACGGGGAAAATAATAACAGGGCAGATGCAGTTCATATCGGGCTACCCTTCTTCTTGTTTTTCACAAAAACATGCAAAACAACTCGAACTATGTCAGGAATACTGGCCTGCTTAGGTCGACAACCAGGCGGGAAAAGAGGGCGAGTCACCCCTGCTGCGCGTTTTTATAGGGACTGCTTCGATAAACTGGTACCCTAAAACAATAAACAAACAGACGCACCTAGCAGCTGAGAACAAACGATGGTAAACTTAAAATTCGAAAAACCGGTATCAATACTGCATTGCGTTACAATATTGTAAATCATTTTGGTTGATGTGCACAGTACGTTTACAAGGCAGCTCAAACTCAATGGACGGTCGCGTAGAGGTGCTTTGGAACGGTGCCTGGGGGACCGTTTGCGATGACCTGTGGGACCTGAATGACGCAACTGTCGTCTGCCGTCAACTGGGTTTTCTTGGTGCGTGGGAAGCTTCTACGTCTGCTACCTTTGGTGCAGGAGATGGGCTGGACATACTGATGGATAACGTCACATGTGCAGGCGGTGAAGAGACCATTTTTGACTGTAGCCACGCCGGGCTTGGAGAACACAATTGTGGGCACAGTGAGGATGCCGGGGTCCGATGTGGTAAGTTAAACACATCAAAACAGTCATCGTTATGGTATTTTCACCACCAAAACATTGGTCAGTTGACTCTCAGTAGTATTTCAAACATTATCACATAGACGTTTACATTCCAAATTCGGTCAAATAGGTCTGACAGGTTATGAGAATCTTTACCGTAATTTGACTTGTCTCCAGATAAAACTAGGCATCCTATTGTTCCTTTTGTGACAAATGTATCTACGTGATGATTCGAAGATAGATTTCTGTCAAGGAGAGTTGTGAATTACGGTTTGATTGTATTAAAATGTATCACCCTGTTGTTTAACAAACTTAAAAGCACACAATTTGACAAACCGGAACGAGGAGACACCTTATGAGAATCTACCTTTTCTTGCTTGTAGTTGACATGCGGCTTGTTGGCAGTGACAAAATTAACGAGGGCAGGCTTGAACTCCTCCTCAACGGTGAATGGGGCACAGTTTGCGACGACTCATGGGGACAAGAAGAAGCCCAGGTGGCTTGCAGGCAGCTCGGCTTCCCCAGTGCTATTGAAGCTACCTCAGGAGCGTCATTTGGAGAAGGCGTTGGTACAATACACCTGGACAATGTGGAGTGCACTGGCTCTGAACGTAACCTACTGAGCTGTCAGCATAACGAGATCGGGGAGAATGACTGTGGCCATGGTGAAGACGCAGGAGTCATTTGCACCTTAGGTATTTCCCGTATGGTTCTTATTCGACCATCCCGCTATTCAGTTGGGTTTCCTGATTAATTTGAATATTAAATATTATAAAGACCGCTGCAAACTGCTTGCTGGCTACACTAACCTAATACAAAGAAGTTGGAGGGCCTGACGTTTCGATATCCTATAGCATAATGTCACAGACGTGCATCTTACTTCTTGCAGGATCTGCACTGTTCGTTTATGATGGAGGGACTAAGAACACCCTCCAGAAGCGATTTCTACAGCCAAAGATCCACGGTCAATACCAAGCAACTGGCTACCCCGTGACCATCACTTCAACCTTCCTTACCATTCCATGTCTTATATGATCTTAAATATCATAGAGTCACAGTGACACCGTAAAGATGCCGTTCGTTTCAGGAAGGACATGCAGTGGATCAAACGCCCGCAGGCCGAACAACCCCATGGCCTGAACATCCAAGAAGGCAACTATTTTCTATCCCTTGCTT